TCACCATGCTGCTCAGGTTTTGCATTCTTATCCTTTCTTCTTGTGAACTGAGAATTGTACATGTCATATTGATTTTCTGTGTTCTATTTTATGCCCAAAAACAGTTGCATTTCTTTAAGAAAGCACTTCAGTCTCTTGAAACAGTGGAGCCACATGTAAAATCAGTAACTGAACAGCAGCACATTGATTACCCCTTTAGTGGTCTTGAAGATGATGATGGAGACGACGGTGATGATGGAGAATATGATGATGAAAGTTATGATGAGAATGATGATGGGGAGTTGAGCTTGGATTATGGGCAAAATGGGCAAGACCAAGATGTTTCTACACTACAAAACTCAAAGGAGGTAACCAACAAATTGCAGTATTCTTAACTCTTCCTTCTCCGTCTAAGATTTTCAGTGAAGGACATCTAATGAAGATCAAGTAACTAGCTCAAAAGAAACTTGTTGATATGATTAGGCTGGAGATTTATAACACACTAGGGGTTAAGATGTTATCATATGCTAAAGAGAACATACATAAAATGAAAGCTGTGGACAGAAAAGTTGCAGTTTTATATATAGGAATTTTGCATCCTAAATTTGTTTGAAAATGGCCTATTACATTATGTGCATGGTTAAATACTTTGCGGGATTGCTGGATGGGAAATTTGAGAAAGCACCTCTAAGGAAAACCTTAGGATATTCAATTTTCTGGTCAGTGCACCAGAATGCTATTATTATCATTTTAAAGAGCTTTCTTTTTGGGAAAGATTGTGGACTTCACCATATATATTTTAGATGTACGTTGAATCTCAACTTCAAATCTATAAATTTGTTTTGCTTAATTTAATCACGTTTAGCAAGTTGCTTCATATAGTTCTCTTTAGTTCTTTCTGATAAAACTTGATTTCCTCAAGGTACAAAATAGCAATTTTTATGGTAAAAGAGAAAAGAAAAAGTTACTTACATGACTGGAAATATTTCATGAGTTGATATCATATACATATCATGAGCCGAAAGGTTTTTAAAGCCTTTGGAAACATGATGTATCTAGTCTCCTATTAACACACACACACGCGCGCATATTTATGAGTATGCACATTGAATGTATGTACTTCTTTGCAGGAAAAGTTAGACATGCTTAGCAGGAATTCAGTTTCCTTTAGGTTTAGGACAGAGAGCCAATCTGCCCCACTTTTCATTGACAAACCTGACTTCACTGAAAAACTAAGACAGATGCGACCGTCTTTATCAAGGAAGTTCAGTTCATATGTGCTACCTACACCAGTTAACGCTAAGAGTTCTGTCTCTTCTGGATCAAGTAATCTATCACCTTCTGGAATGCATATAAATTTAAATGAGCCTACAAAGAATTTGTGGCATTCATCCCCGCTGGAACAAAAGAAATATGGAGAAAATTTAGGGGATGAGAAATTTCCTGGTTCTACTATTACAAATGCACAATCTGTGCTCAAGGAAAGTAACAGCAATATAGCCTCCACAAGAATGCCACCTTCTTTCGTTGATGGCCTTTTATCCTCAACTCATGATCCTTTTCATGTTCACTCTAAGAAGATTAAAAGACAAGCCTTTTCTGGTCCATTGGCTGGTAAACCATGGCCCACTAAGCGTGCTTCTGTAGAATCTGTTCGATTGTTTTCTGGACCTCTTTTGCAGACTCCAACAGCACAGGCTTCATCATCGTCTCCAAAAATATCTCCTAGTGCTTCTCCTACTTTTACTTCTTCACCTAAAATAAGCGAGCTTCATGAGCTTCCAAGGCCCCCCGCTGGTTTTTCATCCAATTCCTCAAGACTCGTAGGTTTGGTGGGTCATTCAGGTCCACTTGTGTCCAGAGGTCCAAAGCTTTCTGCTGCAAATAAATTGGTTACATCAAATAAAAATGCTGCATCTCCTTTGCCAACACCTCCTCAGGCCATGGCTCGTAGCTTTTCCATACCTTCTAGTGGTGCAAGGGCTGAAGCATTACGTGATCCGAGGCCACTGGAATCCCCTAATAGGTCATCTGTGTCGGAGGATCTGGCATCTCCTCCGCCAGTAGCGTTAACAACAAGCAGTCAACTGTCTTCTGAGGGTTCTGACACTGTTGCTCAGGCTGTCTAGATTGGAGGTAATTTTTAACCTTGGATTTTTTTTTTGAGGTCTCTATCTTTTTGTTTTCCTAGAATATTTTAGAAATATAAATTATGAAATCTAGACAATGTGGAAGGAATATATATATATATATATATATAAAACTGCTGCAGCTGTTGGAAGTTGATTTTGTGTGGAATAAAACAGAGATAAGGGCTAATACCTAGTCCTCGAATTTCATTATTTCACGTGTCTGATTGTGGTAGGGGACTTGGGAAAAAAGAAAAAAATAAAGAAAAGTGGTGGGATAAATTATTGATCTGTTTCAACGCAAATTGCTCTAACCGTGCATGTGTTGATAGCAAAACTTATAATAGGACTTCGTATGGCTGTGTCGTTTGCAATTTTTGGTAATACAAGTGGAAACACAGTTGATATGCATTTCACATACTTCATTTGATTATTCACATTTTAGTTAAGAGTGTGTTTGGCTGAAAAAGCCCTCTGGGCACCAAAACGTGCTTTGCAGATCGACTTGTTTTGTTTGGCATGGACCTTCCTCCTGAACCACATTTGTCCTCCAAACCCTGCCCCCACCAAAGTAAAAAGGGGGGACTGCTTATGCGTTTGATGAACTTTATTGATGGCAAAAATCCACTTTTTAGATAAAAAATTTCCCAATGTGAATCGTGGACATTGGAGCTCGCTCACGTCTTCAGATTACAAATCATTTTTATTGAAAATTACGTTCACAAAACTCCAGAACACGCACTAATTGCAGCATCCTCTTTTTTCTTTTCAGCAGTAGAATTTGTAATTCAGGAATGACATGATGGTTAATAGACACCAGAAAATGTCAGAGAGATTATTGGTAATAGAAATTGTGCTTGCCACTGTATATAAGCCATCATGTGACTATTGTATGTTCATCCAACGTTAGGATGCTTCATGATCGCTCTGGGTTCATACATTTACTAGTTGCTATACTTTTCGAGTTTGAAATATGGATTTTGTCTTTACTTTCTATTTCTTGGGATTGTCTGTTTGAATTATTAATTAATATAATATTACTCATTAAAACAGGCAATGACTTGTGCAGATTAATTCCACTCGCGTACGAAGATAGCCCTGTTTAAGACCAGGCAAATAAAGCTTAGGGTCAAGTTTTGTTCCTCGGTAGTTTTGTGCAATTGGAAATCTGTAAATATTCATGTACGTCGTCATTTTTGCTCGGCCTCCCTTTCACTGGTGGAAATAAATGCCCATGGGTAGCATGCTTGCATTGTTGAATTGTGTATTATTTCCTTAATCCAATATTCAATCAAAATTAATCTCTAGTGGCTTTCAGTCTGCAATTTCATTGTAACCTTTTTATCTGGTTATTCTAGGAAAAAATCAATTCAGATGTGACAGAGATCTTGATTAAGGTGAACTATGTTGCCTAGCTTTTTTTTTTTTTAATGTAAAGTGGATGGTACAATTTTTTTTTGGCGTCTCAACTCAGAAATATTGGTACTGCCAAAATCAAAGTAAAGCATTGCTATACAGCCGAAGCAGGCAAACAGTACAAACTACTACTTTTACACGCAAGAAGAAACAAACAAGTATCTCCAGTTAGGCTTTGGTTTCCCATTTCCATTGCTACTTTTTTCCTTTCCTTTTTCGTTCTTGGGAGCGTCGTCCTGTAAGCAAGGCTTGCCATTATCCAATTTGGTTTTCAGGATTTAGTTGAATAATTTTTTTTTTAAAAATTAGGTTAAGATATATCCATCATTTAAAACTATTTTCTTATATGTATCCAATATCTTGAAATATTTTATGATGTATCTAGTATTTCAAAATATTTTTGAGATGTATCTAACATCCTGAAGTTTTTGTTTTTTGTTTTTTTTGTTTTGGTATTAAATGTACCAAAAAATATTTTTAGGTGCTAGATGCACCTAAAAAAATATTTCAGAATACTAGATATATTAAAAGTACTTGACCGTACTGAACACATTTGAAAAAATATTTCAAGGTGGCAGGATACTAGATGTATTTAAAAAAATATTTCAGTGTATTAGATGTCTTCAAAAAAAAATAATGTAAGATGTTGGATCCATCTTGACCTTTTAAAAAAAGACGGAACTGAAGTTTCTTTTAGCATAGAAACTACAGCGCCTGAATTGGACTTTGCAAAGATTTTCATTCATGTAAAACTGCTTATTTGTCTTGAATGTAGATGTGGTCTTTATATTTCGATGTCCTAAACATGGTTAGATGAGCGATTTCTTTTGTCATATTAAGAAAGTTTGAATCACTAATTTTTGTTTATATTTGACACTTCCTCTATTTTTTTTTATAAGATACAAATAACTGAATTATGTAAATTTAAAAGGTTGAAAGGTTTAAGGCAATAATTATGTAAAAATATCATATATTTTTTCAAACGATACTTATTTATGGAGAAAGTAAACATTAACACGAATCAATAATTGATAAAGGCAAAAATAAAAAATAATATCAAATATTTCAGATATGTTATTAGTACCATGTCTGCCATCTACTACATGCCTTTTTTAGTATTAGGTGGTTGATGCTGTAGGAGAAATCTATATAATTTAATGTGTCTATATCAATGCCATCTAGCGTTAATGTTACTACCTGGTTCTTAATATAAAAATTATATTATAAATATGTGTTGATTTTTTTAAATTATTTTTTAATTATGTGCGTTAAAATTATTTTTTGATTAGGATTTTTTTACAAACAATACGGATATTTTAGAAAACATATTATAAATTCAAGAGGCATAATGAATTAGAACTAAATCTAATCTCCAATTAGTTTTCATACCATGCACTACAGGTAGTATTTAATATTTTGACGAAGAACAAATTGACGAGGCATGCAAGCTGTGCCCCTATAAGAAAGAATAATAGATGATTGAGAAGCTATGTGAGGATTAAACATTCCAACACTAAGATGGAATCTTTTTCAAGTCAACATGCAAAGGCACTTGCATGTTCGTATAGGGATTGATCGAAGCAAGTGACTACTTATGTTAATATTAATATTATATAGAAAAAGGATATAAGGGAATGAGGCATTTCCTTTACACTAAAAACAGGAAAAAAAAAAAAAAGGGTGTGGTTATATTATATTATGTTATCAGTTAATCCATTAATTGCAGCTTCCTCCAATGTCATATCTGACGAATCCCATCAATTCTGGTCCTTCCAGTCTCGGGTTGTTGTTGAAACTGCATTTTCATGCAACTTTTATTAACACATAAAATTATAAACTGATCTCTACAAAATAAATATTAATATTAACTCGGCTGATTATTTAAAAGGCATTAAATCTATTATATTCAAATAACATAATCATAAATTTTAGTCTAAATTACATAATAGAACTCCTCTTAACTTTAAGATATGTACAAATAATTAACTTTCTTGACATTTAACATTCAATAATAAACTTCTTTGACAGGCAACCCCACAACTATCAATTACATGTGCAAATAATTACATAATCCTCACAAACTTTGTTTGTATGTCAACCTCTGAATTATATACAAATAATCTTCAAAACTTCAAGCCGTGCGTGGACAAGCAATCAACAAAACCAATCGTAAGAAATTTACATGCACATACATAAAAGTTTAAGGAACTTTATAAATTTCCGTAGAGTTTGGACTCACCTTTCTTCGGAGAACTTGGAAAAAGAGCCAGAAGTTGGGAAGGTGCCACACAAATCATTGTTTGAGAGGTCTCTGCAGAACGGAGAGAATAAGAAATCAGTGAGGAACTGTGATTACTGAAAAACTGAGAGCTGAATGAGAAGAGAAACTCACAAGATCTTAAGGCTTGCCAGTTTGGTAAGCTCTCTTGGTATTCTTCCGCTCAGCTTGTTGCTGTTCAGTCGCCTACGTAATAGTAATAGTAAAAACCAAAAAGAAAAGATTTTCAACTGATTACTAGTTGGATGTGGTCAAAATAAAGCATGATTAAGTTGGTACAGCAACCCAACACATACAAGAATCTGAGATTGGAGAGCTTGGAGAGACTCGGAGGGATTTTCCCAGTTAGGTTATTGCAATAAAGATCCAAGCTTACAAGACTCTTGAGCCCTCCAAGTTCCTTTGGTATGGGACCCTCCAAGTTATTCATGTACAATTCTCTGCAACAATCAAAAACAAAAAAACACAAACACACACATAATCATCATCATCTTCATCATCATTAGACCAAAAAAAAAGTTCCGTGATTCTGGTTAATACTTACAGATACCGAAGGCGTTCCAACTTCCCAAGCTCTGCAACCAAGTGGCCAGACAATTTTGCATGCCCCAAGTCTCTGCATTAAATCACACCCCACCACAACACAAAATTAAAAAATCTATTCACCCATTTATATTATTCTTTCCTTCTTCAAAGTGGGGAAGAGAGGGAGAGATTTTAAAACTTACAGGCGTGTAACTCGCTTGTCATCATCACAGGTAACATGAAACCAGGTACAGGGATCCACCAGATTGGGATCCCAACTCTCTAGAACGTTGTTTGGATCGTGTACAGCTCTTCTGAAGGCGTACAGAGCATCCCCTGTTTTGTTCTCGACAACATAACACTTTTAACAACAAAAAGCCAGGGGGGAGGGGGGGAAGGGGGGAGAGAGAGAGATCGTTTACCTTCCATATTCGCGTTTGCAGGAGCAAAGGGGTGTGGGAGGAGAAGGAGAATGGTAAGAACATAAACGAGGAGAGACCAAAACTCCATTAGAGAGACTCAAACTCAAGATGCGCCTTACAGTTAGTTTGTGTTGATAATTGTCCTCTCACAAGATTGTGCCTTCCAAGATTCGGTATTATTGCTAAATTTATAGAGCCCATAAATGTAGGGTGGAGAGTGCGAACTTGTTCTTTAGCTCTTCTTTCTTTTGGTGTATTTTTGTTTCCACTAAAATATTTTAATCTTCTCTCTAAACGTTATTGTCTTTCTTATTTTCCTTTCCCCTTTAAATAATTCGTTACTTTCAACACCCCCTTTAACCAGACTAATGGTTTGATTTAAAATAAATAAATAGGCAATCAATCCTCTCCCCCCCCCCGGGGGGGCGGACATTTGTATTGTGCAGCACTTCAATCTTTAATTGTAGCCTTTTATATTTCAGGGAAGGTCCCCAAAATCCCAAATGAGTCCCTCGTACTGAAATAGAATTTTGAAATGTTTGTATTTTTACAATATTATTTTTCACATAAAAAAGCCACCTCAGCACCCCTCACTGCCATTGGCTAGTTGATGAAACTCCAGTGCCAGCATTTTCCTAGTGGCTGCCAGCAAAGTTGGCTATCTTAAGAAAGTGGTGTCATTTAGCCTAATCAAATGCATGAAATAGCTAAAGAAGTGTAATAAATACTTGGAACACCCAATCATGAAATTTGAGAGAAAAAATATATTGTCATTATTACACTTCATTCCCTATTTACTACACTTAATTAGCAAATCATAGCATATTTCAACAAATTTTACAGCTAAATATTTTAGGACATTTACAAATATTTTTTAGCTAATTTTTTATGTTTGATTAGTAAATGACAATATACTTTTAACATTGTAAACTTTGCTAATAGCTAATAAGGGGCTGTCAGCAAGTTCATCGAAGCTATGATAGCTCGTCACTGATAGGATCGACTGTGATAGGATTTGTTAAGGGACATTTTTTCTTCTTAAAACATATAACAGGTAGTTATCACAAAAAAAAAAAAAAAAGTCACGGGGTGATATCTTTTCCCAACGTTTCAAAATTCCAATATCTAATTTGAGATTTTGATATTTCCAATTTTTTTATTTTGAAAATTTTTCTATGTTTTATATCAGAATTCATTAAAAGAAAAAAAAAACATAATGGAAGTTATTTTTATTTAACATTGCACTTTGTATTCAGGAAAAACAAAAGCTAGTTGCACTTTGTATAACCAAAAAAGAATTGGAAGAATTACAATAAAGTTTTAAGGGAAAAAAAATTACTAGTAAGTTTTAATAACAACTGAGAAGTTGTTATTTATTACTTTAGAACTTGTCATTATAAGCTACTTTGTTGTCTGAGATTTTTTGATAATTATGTTTTTTAAATTGGGATTTCATTACAATTCCCTCAAAAGAATTTACAATTTCAAATATTGTAAAAAGAATCTCTTCAATGGTGTTTGATTTAAGAAAATTAAAGTCTTTTTTTAATCATATAGAACATAATATAGGTAATATTTATTATACTGAAATTATTATTTAATTTAATATTACTGTTCTTTTCTCTTATTGTTTTTATTTAGAAATATAAAGAATAATTTTGCATTACGATTTTTTTTAGAGAGAGACACAAAAATTCTCAAATATGTAAATTCCAATTTAGGACCTTGAATAATCTAATCATTGTGAAGTGTTAAGTATAAGTCTAAAATTAAATTTATAATAAAATTGCCAATATCCCATAATTTGACATTTGGAAAACAAAAAAAAAAATGAAATGGCAACAACAGTGAGTAACAAACTTAACTTATAAAATGACAGCATCTAAAGTAGTGATAACTAATTTCATAGAAAAATTTTTTACCTAATATTTATGGTAACAACAGTTAAACAAGTAATAATTTTAACTATTTATTAAAAAAAGTATTTTTAGCTTATCAAATGATAACAACAACAAATACAATAACTAATTTCACTTGAGGCAATTAGGTTATTACACTAAAACTTTAATTCCAAAATAATCCTAAAGTAAAAATCAAACCATTTCGAGAGATTCTTTTCATATTCTTATATACCTGTGATCCTTGTGTGTTTTTTCTTCCTTTATTCCAAGCAGAAATAATGGCGAAGGAATCTCTGCTCTAGGGTGTAGACTGTAGACAATATCACAATATCTTTAACTTATGTCGGACCAGATTCCATCACATGACAACAAACACCTTACACTCTTTCTCTCTCCCTTTGATTGCATCTTTTTCTCCCTCTTGGAACAAAGTTCTACTATTTTTCTAGAGAAAATACCAGCAACTTGTTGAATTAAAGCTAAGATTAAATTAGAAATTATTACAAAGTCAGAAAAAGTAAACAGAAGAGGGTATGAGCAGCATATGGACATTCCCATGAAAAATCAGTACTTTCTGAATTGTTTGTTCGTCTACTTTACTGTTCCAATGAGAAGAAATATGAATTTTGAATATATTCTTAGATTCTGTGTTTTATGTTTGGTTCATTCTTCACTTGAAAAGATGAGAAGAAGTGACAAGCGCGTTAAAGTCATGAAACAAAATTCCCTCAGCTTTACCAGAAATATTAAACAGTCATTTTGAATAGTATGCAGTAATAATTGCAATTAACGTAGAATTTGAATATAGTTGAATGAGTATAAGTTAATAAAAAAAGTCGGGCTAAATGGGTTGTGATTGATTTATTTTAAGTAATAAAAAAAATCATGTCCTGGTCAAAAAATATATATAAAAAAAAATTATGTTGTGAGGGCCTATACTAAGTGGAGTCCCGCCTTGATTTTGGTTGATAAGATTGAATAAAATAAAATGATGAGAGATCGAGGGTTGAGATTGAATCTTGAAGATAGAAAATTGGAAAAATTATAATTAGGTCCCACCTAAGGGAATTAAATACAAAATGATCCCTTAAAATCATGAAATTATTCTAAAGTCCCAAGGGACTTTTTTGTAATAAATTTTATTTATTTAATAACTAAATTGTTGTTGTGGTTGTTGTTGTTGTTATTTTGTGTTGACAACTAAAAGAATAGTGGCTGACAACTTAAAGTGCAAGGGTTGACAACTATCACGGTAATGTAATGCATGAGTTGTCAATACCTACCGTGATAGTTGTCAATCCTTATATTTTAAGTTGTCAACCACTGCTCTTTCAATTGTCAATGTAAATTTTTTTAAAAAAAAGGTAATTTGATCAAATTCCTTAGGACTTTAGAATAATTTCATGATTTTAAAAGACTTTTTTGCATTTAATTCCCTTAAGTGGGACCTAATTGCAATTTTTCCTAGAAAATTTGGGCAGCGACGAATAATACTAGTAGTTGGAGTTCCAAGCAATATCCATTTGAATAATGTGGAATGAATATAATTTTAAACATAAAATAATAATTGGATTAGTGGTAAAAACTTAATATTTTTTAAATAAAATCCTACGTCTTGCATATTTTTTTGGAAAAATGACAATAAAATACCTTTTGAATTTCAAAATGACAAATAAGGAATCCGAATAAACAAAATGACAAAGAAGGCATTAGGTACCAATCTGGAATTTTAATTTTAAATTTTACAAAACATATAGTGGGATTTACAGCTTTCATAGTGAGAGTTATTACTTCGTCAATGGGTTTTGCAACCTGTTTTGAAGGGCTGAGCAAGTTTTCTGTAAAAAAATATAATTCCACGCCGAATTTTACAAACACATAGTGGGATTTACAACTTTCATAGTGAGATTCACTACTTGGTCAATGGGTTTTGCAACCTGTTTTGAGGGGTTGAACAACTTTTCTGTAAAAAACAATACAATTCAACGCTGAATTTTACAAAATACATAGTGGGACTTACAACGTTCATAGTAAGAGTTACTACTTTGTCAATAGGTTTTGCAATATGTTTTGAGACCAAAAATCAAAATTCCAGATTGGTACCTGTTGCCTTTTTTATCATTTTGTTTATTTGAATGCCTTATTTGTCATTTTGAAATTCAAAAGGTATTTTATTGTCATTTTTTCTTTTTTTTTGGATCTTATAAAACAATATTGGATGGAATATTAAATAGTTAGTGAAGTCTAAATTAGATATTTACTACACTTATTATTTATTTATTACACTTAATTAGAAAATGTCATATTTAAATATTTATAATACTTCATTAACTATTTATTACATTTCATTAGCAAAAAAAATCCCAGCCGCCAACGAAGCTCTTATTGATGTGGTTTTTTTTAATTTTTTTCCAAAACGGGTGGTATGGTAAACAGCGATATTTCAAAATTTCATTTGAGTGCATGTGCTGTTGGAGGCAGCACTTGCAGAAAAACTGTTAGTCCGAGTCACGTCCTACGAATGCTGTCCTTAAATGCTATTCCGCGACCACTGGCAAATGAGGAAGCGGCACTCTCCAGGATTAAACGGACTCCTCCTACAAAAACAAGGTAAACAAAACAGTAGAAGAGAAGATATAAACCCAGCGAGGCAGAGAGAATTCCAGAGGAGGGAAAGAGATACACGAAAGCTCAAGTGTGGGATGCTTGAAACTCATGCAAACTGTGCCTTATATAGGCCTCAGATCAAGAGACATTGGGCCCTTATTTAATCATGTTAATGGTGATTAAAATGTCGGTTACAAACGTTACAGCAATAAAACTGAGTAACATATACGTTTTGAGCATTACTGGTAATTAACTCAAACGTTTCACAATTAAAAATCCATTAAGGCATATTGATGGAGTTTAAAAAACCAAACGGTAGGCTTTCAAAATTCAAATGTAATAAAATCATGGTTCTCAGATAAGCTTAAATCATTTTTGGATTTTCCAAAAAGCCTTTGACTAAGAGGTGCCCAATTCACCTTTAACTCACGTGCAGGGGGGAATCGCTGGATTTTCACTGCGTTTACCTCCACTGGCCCATGCTTGTGCACGCGAGATCCTCCTTCTCCTTTAGGCTCATTCACTAGCCCAAGAACACAAGCTTGTATTTATGGACTTGTGCCTTCACTCTCTTGGGCAATGTGGGACTTGTCCTTTTGGTACAGCCACACAATTTCCAACAATCCCCCACATGTGTCGAAAGGGAT